GTGATATACTCAATTTGAATTTTACTGTTTTGAAAAATCTAAAAGGACTGCAAAGGCAGGCTTCGAGGACCAATCGCGGTCAGGGAAACACAATTTCAGAAAAGTTGATCTATCTAATTATTTATTTGCAGCTTGTACACATAACAATAAATGACATGCAGTTTGGATTTGCTAGGTAAAAAGAAGTCGTCTAGAGCAAGCACCAGTTCTTAGCATTGAAGTCCTGAAGGCGAATGACGCATAAGTGGAATACAGACAACCCAGCACCAAAACAAATTTGTTTAAAAGCCTAAGAAGTCGTTGGTTTTAATTTCAAGCGTTGGAAAATCTATGAAGTCCTATTTGGTCTGTTGTTCCACCTTTTTATTTGGCAGATATGAAGGTGGTAATGCATAGGCTTCAAGACGGAGTCTTTGAGATATACCAATCCTTACATTCTCTACGTCTAACTAAATTTTCCCTCGTCTATGGGCAAAGCATATGGTGGTAAGGAAATATCTTATACTAAGAATTAAGCTTATATATAAAGCTGTTTCTTTCAGATGCTCGAGAACTTTTGTCAAATCAAGCAAGGGAGTATCAGCGTATTATTGATACAGGGTATCATCCACTAAACAAACAACACCCAACTCGTCTGCCGATAACTAAACAGGAAGATGTAGGAAAACTTTTAAAGAACATGGTAAGAAAACAACGTTATAGAGCCTTCAGCAAGTTCATAATTTCATTCCTCCCATCGTCCTGGCCAGAAGGAAAGGCGGTTCAACTAGATTTTGCGTTGACTATCACCGATTGAACGAGGTTACGAACAAAGGCAGCTACCCTTTTTCTAGAAAGTATACATTCAGGACACTTTTTCTAGAAGCAATTAGTTTTCGAAGCTTGATTTAGAGAGTGAATATATGCAGGTACAGATACATCTTGGTGATAGAAAAAAGATGATATTTACTACAAGTACTTTGGCAGTTCGAGGTGATGGCGTTTGGATTACGTAATGGACCAGCAACATTCGAACGCCTCATGGAGACCGTGTTGGGAGATTTTTCCTTTGAAGCCTGTCTGATATACCTGGATGACATCATTATCGTTGAGAAGAATTATGAAAGTATACAAGAAATATTGGCAGGGTACTTCAGAAATTGAAGGAATCCAATCTAAAATTAAGTCTCTCCAGATGTAAATTGTTCAGACAAGAAGTGATCCGAGGTATACCTCGGACATACCATCTGCTAAAGCTGTGCGTATGGATCCAGAAAAAGTGTCAAAAGTTAAAACCTAGAGATGACCCGAAAATGTCCATCATCTGAGAAGTTTCCTGACGCTTTGTACCTACTTCTGGAGATTTTTGAAGGACTTTTCTTTCACAGCAAGACCCACTTCACAAGTAGGCAGGCACAGCAAGCAAAAGCTCTTGTGGACAGGAGAACGTGAGGTTGTTTTTAACAGAATGAAGGAAACTTTAACATGTATGACAATCCTGAACGTATCCTCTCAGCTGGACAAACCATTTATTCTCGACCCAGGTGTGAGCAATGAGACTATCTGTGCTGTATTGTCCCAAGAAATAAACGTTTGAGAACAAATCTTAGTATACTGGAGCCGGTGTCTTTCCTCTCCACCAATCAATGGTGGGTAATAGTTCGTTATAAAACCTTGATTGGTAGACTGAGGGTCGTTGACTTCCGTTGCGTTTGAATCGAAAGATGCACAAAGGGGCTTTATGACAGAAGTCAAATTTTCAAGAAGCAACAAAAAACAATCCCATTCCTCAGAAGAATATCAGAAGTCAACAACAAAAAATGAGATCAATGTAAATAAGTTCCGTGTAATTCATTCTTTTGACGAACGGGTTAGTTTTTTATTGCATGCCTTTTGTCATAGCCCCTTTTTTTTACATTTTCCGATTCAGTTGCTTTCAGATAATTTATTACGCGAGAAATTCTTCTCACGTACTTGTGAAGCAAATATTAAAAACAAAATCGAACTGTATTTCGTATATCTCAAGTTCAACTTTAGACAAGGACACAGTCTACATTTGATTGATTCCTCCCGCTCAAACTCCTTTCGTTTGCACCACTTGTTTAATTGTATAAAAAGAAAATGATGAAAAACATGATCTAAATTACAAAATTTTGCCCTTATAAAATACTCACTTTGTGGCGGAAAAATAATTTCTAATTCTTCTCTTTCCCCACTTTTTTCTCATGAGATTAAACAAAATCTTCCCATTTATTAACTGATCAGTCTATGGCACCTCACATGAATGATAACTGTGTTGTCCAAGATAACGTATTATTCTGATCAAACAGTGAGATGTATCACTTCTTAGACAGCACATTTTTCATATCTTTAAAGACATATTCACAGATGACATTCCAGTACATTCCGGGCCATAAGAAATTCAAACGACGCATACAAATCCAGCAGCATTCCTCATTCTACTATAATGAATCTTCACTAACAGGTTTGAACTTTGAAAATATAGAAAAAGCATTAGCACTACATAAAATTACTCGGCAGGACATACAGATAATTGCATTAAACCATACGTATCTTTTCCTCCTGCTTCTGCCCTTCCTCAATCAAATAGGAAGAGCTGGTATATTTTTCCAAAGCATTTAAAACGGCAGAGATGATCTTTTTTCTCAAAATGAAAGATTTTTTTTTAATTCTTCCTATTTCAGGCCGATTTGCCTTTTATTTGCTTTAAGTTAAGTCTTAGACAGCATAATAATGCGGATTCTAAATCACCAAATCTATAAAAACCATTTATTAAACGAGCATCATTTAAGGGTTTAGGATAGGTCTGTCTGTCGAACATGCATTAAAACGATTGCATGGTTGCATATTGTTATTACCGACAGTAAATAAACGAGCTTTGATGCTTTCATTAAGGCGGAAGACAAACAGGACAATAATGTAAATCTTTGTCCAGGCAGAATGTTTAAAAATAAACTAATTGATATCAAATTATCCAAATCCATCCATACTGCAGCATTCAAGCTACCGTAGGTAGAGGAAATCCTCTCAGGTTTTGTCAGTTCTCAACCTTATTACGGAACGTTCTTCCAGATTCTGCTTTATTAGTTTTCGACGAAAATAAACACCAGCATATCCTCGCATAAGCCGATGACTTCTTAATTATTGCTAGTGATCAAAGCCGCAGTTCTTACTACAGGCTTGTTCATTAGGCAATATACTATGTTATTATAGACTGGGCATCTGTCCACAAGCTCACGTGTCCAGCCAACATTATGCGTACATTAAACAACATACGCGCTATAGAGTAGAGAACAATCCTTTAATTTGGCAACGGTCCTAGCAGAGCAGTGGTTAACATGGGCATTGTTGTTACATGTTTGCTTAATATTTTGTTCAAAACATCGAGCAATGCATATTGCAGTTTGGGAAATGCTATGAAACTTAGTGCACATAACGTAAATTGCTTCTAAACATATAACTGTACACCATGATTTTTAACGTGCATATGATTTATGAATAATATCTATTTCAGCCTAATAAATGATGTAGAATGTTTATTTATTTATTGGAGATATTTAATTCTTTTAAATATATGCAAATGTTCAACACTGTACATATTGTTGTGTGCGTACGTGTTCGTAATAAATTAAATGCACAAGTCCGATGAAAAGTGAATAAAATTTATTATTATCACAACAAATAAAACAAAACGTTTAAAGTTCCTCAGATATTTGTACAATATGACAATATCTCAGAGTAGTTATATTTTAAACTACTAATGCGTTCAACAGAACTTAATTTAAGATAGAGAAAGCTAATCCGATTTCACCGCGAATTCGCTACAATCATACAATAAGAAAACAACTAAATTGAGATGTTTTGCTCCAGCTTTTATATGGTTTTTAAACATGCACGAGAAACTTCTCGTATTTTCTCGGTTTTTCTGGGTAAGCAAAAGCGTACAATTACGAGATATCTATTTATTGAATGCGCGTGCTCCGGTATTTTTAATTTTTCGGCATAGCTTTCTCTTCAAATAAGTCTCGTGCTGCATTGCATGGGAATATAAAACAATTTTAATTACAAATTCTACTAAAAAAAGCTAAGTAAATACAAAAACCGTAACAATATTATATCCTTAAATATTATAATATTTCTTAAGTATTCACCAATTATGTAACCGCATAGTACTATTAAATATTGAAATATTTGTCAGGAATTTTTAGCATATAAAGCATGTAATTGTGAGGTATATTTAACTAAAGAGTATCTACTACTACGTATAACTGCACAATATTTAAGTATTTGAAACTTATACTGCATGTAATTATCAAGTAAAGTTGCAAAATATTATATAAATACTGTTGCAAAATATTATATATATATTACTGCTTCATAAAATATTATCTCGAATACGTAGCTCCTCGGCATATGTTCCCATTACGTGCAGTGCAAGAGTTTTCTGCTAGCCATCTTTATCGCGCTATCTTGTTATAATAGAAAGCACGTAGACTTCTTCTGTTAGCTGGACATAATGGCTAAATATGAACATGTGTAATACAGCCCTTTACGTTCAGTCAATACCAGCTGTACTGTCAAGTACGCAAAGTGGAAAAAGCTAAGAACTAAAAAGAACTAGTTTTTGTCCCGCGCCAAAAATAAAATTTTTGTGTATCATACAACGCAGTTCTCTTATATCTTATATTTTCTCAAAAAGGCTTTTTTTAAAAGGAAGAGAATTGAGAAAGTCCCCTCCGCCCCTAATTTTTTTTTTTTTTTTATTAGCTTGTACTAGAGTTCGTCTTTGACACGATAATTAGATATGTAAATGAGAAGTAAAAAAAAATAAATAAATAAAGATTTGAGCAAACAAAATCCAAACAAGAATTTTTTAAACAGCTCGAAGTTTATTACCTTTTTTCCCTATTGCATCATTACATCTGTCCTGGCTAAAGGATTACTGAAAATTTCCTCAAGGTTAAACAGAATTTTTTACATAAACAGAACGCAGTAACATAATTTTCTCTTCGCTATTCGTCAAAACAATATTTAACATTATTTTCCCCCCATTGTTATTAAACGCTCCTTTGGCGAAACTCCGTGAAGCTGAGGTTCGTTGTCTATTAAAGAAGTAAGTTGATTAATACTTTTTTTAAAACTAATTAATATTCTGCCGCTAACTTTTGATACGCACCTACATAATGAAGAATGCTTAAAATAATGCATGAATTTCAAATAAAAGAAATTAATTAATTATCCTGAAATGCAAAATTTTGTTTAATTAAAATTGAAAGCCTAGATAGTGTTCCGTAATGAGAAAAAAGTAGCAGCTGAAATAACACCTTGTAAAAATTTATTCATAATTTAAAGCTTTGTTATTAATTATCTTTTCTGTTTTGACTAATTACAAAAAATCGTACTTTTAAATAATTAAGGTTCTGGAGAAGTCGGTCTTTGTGCTAATATTGTCAGATTTATGTATCTTTTCCAATAGAAATCATAAAACTTTTAATAAATATGAAGCTTCTATTAAAAGTAAATGAACGTGTTTTACATATTTCATTAGTATACTTTATTCTGATTTACAGAAAGTTAAAATATAATTTTTTATTCATGATTTATTAATTAAAGGCAATTTAAAATAAGTTATTTTCATTAAATCCTAGGTCCATTAAATTCTTAATTAACCAAAATAAAACAATATAAATTAAAATAATATAAATTAAAACAACAACTTTTTTTGCTGAAAATATACCTTATAAGGTTTTTCGTAATAGAATCTGTGAAGTATCTTCACTTGATGGAAAACAAGCCAGCATTCTTTTAAAACCCTATCAGCAAATATAATATGAAAATTTTAAGATCAGTTCCAAAGATGTTATGTTCAATTAACAACAAATATTTACTGCATTCTTATTAGTCTTATATTTGTAAATGTGCATATGGAAATAATTTTGATGTGAATGTAAGGTTTTCTGTAGAGCATGTTGGTGGGACGCAAACTATGCATTCAATAATATTTTAAGAGCTGGAAATTTAAATTTTCTGACATTTCAATCCTGTCAAAGCATTCGATTGCGAACTTATGGGACTAAAATTTTGAATTGTTACATCCGACAGGAAAGTTCCTGTTCTTCTTCAAAATCCTTTGCTATAACAGAGTACTGAAAATAATATCTAATCGTCTAATATCTAATATAAGAAGTCGCCAAACTTTTTCTAGCGCTTTTATTGCATCAAAAACTGAAACATTAACAAAACAAAGAAGACGTTAACAAGTCTTTGTTACCCTTTTCCAAATTTCTTAAAACAAGAAATTTTCTATAACGGTACTTGAAGCTCCTAATCATCCCGTGGTCCATACATTAAGATGCAAGGAAACATTCTTAATCCGTTCTAAAGTTTCGACCTCTGTGTGCGCAGTACAGTTGCCATTCGAGAATATAACGTTTAGCTTTTTGACTAAAAGTCTTCATCCTCTTTCGTAAATCTTCAGCTCAGACGATATCCATACCTTATGATTAGCTTTCTCGAAAACAGGAAGAATTTTCATATTTTTTAAGAATATTGACTTTTAAGATATTCCATTCAACAAAAACCTTCGATTCACTTCAGACTGGCATACACAAGTATATGATTCGCAGTTTTGACAATTTTTCGTCTGCGAATATTTTATCTTAAAATTTTAATGTTTTTTTTTTATTCTAAACCAAGGGGATGAGCAATAACAACAACTTTATTTTTCATTTAATTTGTCACAGATATACCGTATTTACTCGCATACTTTTCCCTTTCGCCTATCGCCCCCATAATTTTTTCAGCAAGTGACTTAAATTTCTGATTTATTGTAAGAATGTAAATTGTAGGCACGAAAACAAAATTATTTCGTGTGCTTGTAAAAAGAATATTATTGAAATTGGTAAGATTTTGAAATATATAAAACAATACTATTAATGTTCCTTTATGTGTGTTCTTTAACGTTCTGTATTTATCACAGAATCTGTCTCTTTAAAGATACTCTATAATTGCGTATTTTTCCCTTGCCGGTTAAAAGAAATCCTGAAACAAGAAGACTTAAAAATATATATAGTAGTTTGCATTGTTTTGTGTGTACCCTATAGCTTAGTTAAATGCAATGCAGTTATAAAATGTTTAATATCGATAGCGTTAAATTTAAATATGCTTTTGTGCATGTTTTCCTTTTATCAGTTTCTGTTACATTATGCACAATATTTTGTCCCAAATTGCGTCTAATTCAAAATTTTTTGCTGTTGCTATTTTACAAGGAATTTCAAACAAGAAAGGGCAGAATGCATAAATTTTTACATCACTTTATTATTATGCAGTTGAACAACTAATTGTTTAACAGCAAGTAATTGAGTTTGAAGAGCAATTAAGCAACTGAGTTTAAGGATAAAATAACGGCATTGATATATTTGAGTAATTAAGAAGATGCCAATTCTGGTAAGTAAAAACCTGCTCAGGACAGCTAAGTATTTAAATAAATGAAAGGAAGTATTACTTTGTTTCGATAAGAAGAAAAGTGCATTTGATGTTGCAGCTGTACGTAAGGTTATTCGTGTTAATGGTATAGAGTCATTAGGATAATTGGAAGCAGAAAAGATGAAAAATATGCAACCGCCTTCGGCGGGAATCGAACCACGGACCTCTGGAATACCGGCCCAGCGTGCTACCGTTACACCACGAAGGCCGCTTGGAAAGTGGGAGAAATACCTTATAATGGAATACCTGTAAATGACACTGAATAGAATAACGTTGCGTGATACATGATAATAGATAAAGTATTTTTCGTTCTTGTTATATGAACGTAAATTTCATTTAAACACGGTAAGGAATTCATTTAAAAAAGGAAGGATTCTCGGAATGTTTTCTGCGAAAGATCTGATGAAAGAATATGGATGAGTATTATTTACAGATGCTTTGATAAATTACAAAATAGGCATAATTTCCAACGTATATAAAGAAAATAACATTGACATTAATGGAACTGTAAAAGAATGCAAGGATATTATGAAAATATGAAGAATATTTCCTCTCAAGAATGAAATGTTTCAAAAGTAGTTAAAGGCTGAGAATGTGTATGAAACGTTTGCTGACATCAGATACGAAATCATGCGTGTGTAATTCATTGGGTATTATTGAGGGATATTTCAAAAGTAAGGCATTCATAAAATCCTAATCTGAAATTAAAACAACATGGCTAAGCAGTGCTTGCAGTGGATTCCGTCTCATGTGAGTGTTTATGGAAAAGATATTGCTGATCTCCTTGCTAGAAAGGGTAGTAAACTCCTCACCGCCCCTTCCTCCAAATTAAGAGCCTCTGACGTCCATTCTCTGTTTTTGACCAATGTTAATAACACTGGGATGATGAACTATGATAACAAATATTTTGTTTTTTCAGACAATGTAATAAATTACGAAAGAATAATGATTTTCTTTGTTCCTCAAGCAAATTAAATCTCGATTAGATCATTGAATGGATAAAAGATATAAATTTTTTCCAGTTTTAGTTTAAACGGCATTCACTAAATAAATATAGCCTTCAAAACTAATCTCCATCAAGTAATAATCGCTATACACGGGTGAAAAATTATGCAAACTCTGAGTGCATGACACATAAACGTATTAGAAACATAATTTCGTTTAACTTTCTACACAAACAATAAATAATGGTCAAGTCTGATTTGGTCAGGTTTGACTTTGAATAATAATGTTAGTTGTTCGGTGGCAAATTGGCAATAAGTCTCTAACATTATGCATTTGACGTGTTTACTGAAAGGGATTTTACTTACCTTTATTGTAGCAGAAAGATCAATTTCTGCAGTCTCTTTAAAAAGTTGAAAAGATTTGACATCACATAGTCGAAAAGATTCTCTTCAAAGTCCAAAAGGTTCGTTGGAAAGACCAATGCCCTTAATTAAAAGAACTAAATGTTTATGGGTTTTTTTTTTTTTTTTTTTTTTTAATTTGCCATTAAAATTCACATTTCGAATGTTACAAATTTAGTACTTAAATGTTTTTTAATTTTCTCAGTTTTCCATAAACAAATTTATTTTAGACGGAAAAAGAGAAATATCAGTCTCATTTTCTCCTTTAAAATGATTCATTTTTAATTTTTTTATTACACGCGGTCACTTTCTAAAATCAACTCTACCTTCGTATAGTCACACAACTGTAAAATTTTGGAGAAATTTAAGGAGTCTTACTCTAAAATTAAAATCATAAATAAATAAGTAATGAAATACAGCCTGGAGCTTCAGATTACAGTCACTTTTTAATTTCATTTTTTAAATATTTTTAAAAAGTAAAAAATATCAAAATAGTAAGATTAAAATGCAAATGTTATCTGATCTTGGTATGAGGATTTTAATTTAATCTGAAACAATTTTAAACTGAGTAGTTAAGATAGACCTCTCTACTGTAGTTTAAAAATTAGTCTGCCAAAAATTAAAGTTGTAGAACATAAAATCTTATATTTAAAAGGAGGTATTAAAAATGGTAAAAAACAAAAGTTAGAAAAAATTGCTATTTTTTCCTTGTTATTCAACGCCACGTAGACACGTGTGTTTATTTAATAAGGGAAGAAGCTAAGTGTTGAAAAAATTCTTTCCTTGTTATTCAACGCCACGTAGACACGTGTGTTTATTTAATAAGGGGAGAAGCTAAGTGTTGAAGAAACAAGCATTTCTATGGTTAACTTAAATGTGGAATAATGGTCTTTCTGCATTATTAGGCACAGCTGGGAATCATGATTTTAATTTAACATTAAATTAGTTAAGTATATGGAATAAAATGCATCAGAAAGTTAAAAATAGAAAAGATTAGTTAATCATAATTTATAAAATTCTGCCTTTAAACTCCAGATATAAATATTAAAATTAAGCATTTTTATTATGAAGTATGCAGGCTGCGTAATATTTTGCAATACTGCAAATTTCTGATTTTGTGTACTGCAAATTCAATTTTGTTTTATAAAAGTTTAGTGAAATGGATAAAGAAACTAAAGCCGCAAAAGAAAGTTTCTTAGCATATCCTTCAACAGACCTCACTCCAGCATTACAAGATTACGCAGCAACTCATCTCAACGAGACTGAGGAAGCAAAAGTCAAAGGTCTGCAAGCATTTAATGAAATATTACAAAGTTAGTTTCTTATTTTTCTTATTAGAATAATGTTATTTTTCATTCTAGTAATTTTTCATTGAAGTCATTTTACTTTACTTCCTTGTACGAAGTAAAAAGGAAGTATTATAATCGCAAAAAATTTCAGGTATCATATTTCAAAGAAAATATCCATTTTGACGGCTATCGAATGCAATTTAACGATGTTTTTGGGTGACATCTGCACTAAGAACAGAATAAAGGACTCTTTTCTCCCCAAAAAATTATAAAACTGATTCAAAATGAAATCTGAAAAGAATTTTTCGTGGCGTCTGTGCGTACGTACGTACGAACGTATCTCGCATAACTCAAAAACGAGTAGCCTCAGAACGTTGAAATTTTGCATGACTGCTATAACATGTAGATGTGCACCTCGTATTTTTGGTTGCAATCGGCCGCACTAAAAGTATATAAATATATGTACATATATCTCCACTCCGTTACTCGGCTCAGTGAGCTCAGTTTCTTCATACTTATATGTTTGTAAATTTTGCATTTTTTGATTTAAAAATGATTGAATTATGTTGTTCTGGTTAAGATTTTTATGCCTTTCGTAAACCTGAATGCAATAATTGTGCAATTATCAACAATATAAAAGTTTTAAGTGCGACTAAGCCTACTTTTTGATTACCAAGAAGGCCATGTTTGTTTACATTTGAAATTTAGCAGAATAGTAGATTTGTTGTCAATCTCGAGAAACTAAGCATCGCACAAACAAAGATAACGCCTTCATTTATTATTGCGAATTAAATCATGCTTAATCCATTCTGAAATTTATTCGAGATATTTTGAGTTTTTATGTATTTTTCCTTAAATACTGAATCGTCTATGAAAAACTATTTTCTTTTCTTTTATACATCGTTTTAGATTTATTATAGTATTTGAATAGAACATGCGGAAACGATTAGATAATTCTTCAGATGATATAAATTTTGTGCATTTTGAGTTATAAAATGAATGAAATGTAACGCTGTTAATTGAACCTAGCGCCAGATTGTCGCTATGATAAACTAATATAGTGAATTTTAAAGAATGCATTTATTCTATTGTGGTTAATGCGCTATCGACGAAATATATTTAATTCAATCCAATAAGTTTAAATGAAATGCAAGAAAAAATGCTTATAATTGAATATTCCTTATAAGGAAGCCATGTGGTGTACACATCAGATTTTTTCATTTTGACAGAGTATGATTTTTTGTAGTTCTTTTTCTTTCTGCTTATACCGTATTTCCTCACGTGTTTTTCCCCTTGTGTAGTTCCCCTTAGTTTTTAGAGCCAGTTTCTAATAATTTAAGAAATATTCGCGTAGTTTTCCCCTTCCTCAAATCATTCAGAGAACAAGTTGCTCTAAATTTTAAAATAGATTTGCCCATGTAGTGATTATTTTCGTTATACTAACAAACAAACTTTCGCAAACTACCTACGAAAGTCATGCCGAAATAAGAAAACATGATCTGAATTGTCTACGATTTCGCTGAGTCTGCTGCACATTCAGCATCTCTAATTATTTATAGATGATTTAAGGCCTAAAGAGTAGTAAAGATAAGAATAAGAAGACAGATTCAAACTGCAGGGGAGTAGAATTGAAGGTATTAGATATTGTAATGTTAATATAACTGTGTAATTTTACTAAAATGTAGGTTTATTTTAAAGAAATAATATTGTGATAGCTACCTGTAGTTTATCCATGACACTTTATGTTCTTATGTAAGCGTGTCCTTCGGAAATTAAATAATTCGCATAATTTTCCGATGATAAAATTATTAGGGGAAAAATACGCAAGGAAATATGGTATACATAGAATAGTTCTGCACTATTGCTTGGTTTTGGGTGAGACCAAGATTTTTAGCTTTTTTTCAGTAAATAGATATATTTGCATTTAAATTTTATGTTTTTATAGTTCTGTGCTGCACAACATTCTACGTCAAGGATTTATATGAAGTTTTAGGGTACACTTTGCTAAAAAAAAAAAAAATGTGGTTTAGAAAGAGTGGTATATTTGCGCCCACTTGGTATCTTAAAAGTGCAGCTGTTACGTTTAGAGCTGTTTAAACACGTTTATAAAAACGAAACTATCAAATTACAGATTTACTACCAGGAAAACATGCAGTAGGCAGCAAATCGGTGTTTAAGATCAAATATGATGAAACTGATAAAAAGATAAAATACAAAGAACGAAAGTTTGAAAATTGCAGAAGTCGATTTATAGTCTGAAACCAGCAGCTATGTGCTGGAATGCAGAAATTGAAAATACATCTTGGGTTCAGTTAAAGCAAAGCAGATCCGTGTCTTTTCACAAAAGAGGATCGTCATCAAAGAATTAATTTATTGTGTATGTTGATGATATCCTAATAAGTTCTACAGAAGAAGTACTACCCAGGCAGCATGAATTCGTAAATTGAACGAGAAAAATACGTGCAATTTACGAATGGGCTTTCGTATAAAAAACGTTCAAGTTGAACGTAAAAATATCATAAAAAGTGTCCAGTGGCAATTACTATATATTTACGTATATTTTTACGTTATACAATACGTAAATTTTACGTAAAATTTAGGTATATTTACGAGAGATACTGCTGTTCATTCGAAACTTTTACGTATAATATACGTAAATTTCAGGGATTTACGTATATTTTTAGTAAAAATGTACATATATTTATCGCATATACGTAAATCTCAATTTTTTGCTTCACGTATTACGTATATATTTAGTAAAAATTTACGTAAATTTCCCCGATTTTTTACTGTATATAAACGTATATATTAGGTAAAAATTAAGGTATATATTCTCCGTATTTTACGGTACAAAAACGAATATATTTGATAGAAATTAACGTATATATTTCCCGTATTTTACGGTACAAAAACGTATATATTTGATAGTAATTAACCTAAATCTTCCCTATGTTTTCTTTGCATATGCGAATGATTGGTAAAAATTTAATCCGATGTCTTCTCCACTTTACTGTGTATAAACGCACATTTTTTGGTAAAAAATTTGCATAAATCTCCAGTTACCTTTTCACTGCATTTTTCGTAAAATGTACTTATTTTAATCTCATATTTGTTATATAAATCTATGCAAAAACTTTCTGCATGCTATGATTAAAAGGTAAAATGTCATTTTTATATCAAATTCTTTTGTACAGCAATATGGAATATATATAACTGGAAAATTTAAATGTACTAATAAATGCCAAAAGAAAAAATTAAATTTCTGTTCAAAAATTATGCAACACTTAAAGGCTGAAAATCACTTAATATTTCATTTCAAAGTGACTACAAAATATGCAATAAATATCGTAAACATCAATTCTATGTTTTAAATCAATTAATGCTATCGTTCATTTACATTTTTGTTTTACTAAATTCATTTCATAAATTTAAATTTAGTAACAACTGTAGCAAACAGTTGTTTACTAAATAACACTTCAAATAAATTATTTGCTTTTCCGAAGGACATTTTCTTATGCCATGTAAATGAACAATAGCATTGATTTAAAACATAGAACTCAGGTTTACAAAATTTATTGCATATTTTGTAGTCACTTTGAAATGAAATATTAAGTGATTTTCAGCCTTTAAGTGTTACATAATTTTTGAATAGAAATTAATTTTTTTGCATTTAAATTTTCCAGTTATATATATTCCATATTGCTGTACATACCTAAAAGGTGGATATGTAAAAATTTGATATCAAATTAACATTTTATCTTTTAATCATAATATGAAGAACATTTTTGCATAGATTTATATAAAAAATATGAGATTAAAATAAGCACATTTTATGAAAAATGCAGTAAATAGGTAATTGGAGATTTATGCAAATTTTTTACCAAAAATGTGCACTTATACACAGTAAAGAGGAGAAGACATCGGACTAAATTTTTACCAGTTATTCACATATGCAAAGAAAACATAGGAAAGATTTAGGTAAATTATTATCAAATATATAAGTTTTTGTACCGTAAAATACGGGGAATATCTACGTTAATTTCTATCTAAAGTACAATATAGTTAATTACCAAATTCAGTAACCATCATACATTTGGATTATTTGAATGAGTGTGCTAAATTTTAAAATTGTTAAATATAGATCAGGAAATTGTAGAAAACTTACCTTTTCCAATAGTTATGAAGTTGACTTTATTTTCCTTGAAGATGAATGTTTAATGTCACAAATATTGCATTCATATCTTCAGATAATACACAAATATATACATATTTATTTATTAAAATTAAGTTTATCCAAAACATGTTAAAGAAAATATTAATTTGGATGTAAGTTAATCGAGTAACTTCTGTTTTAATTATACACATAATTATGATATGTAAAAATTTTACATTTATCAGCCAATCTTGCAATGTATTGTTGCGTGCGTACGGGTTCGTTATGAAATGAATGCACAAGTCCGATGAAAAATGAACAAAAATTTATTATTATCACAACAAAAATGCTTAAATTTTCTCAAATTATCATGCAGTATTACAATATCTCACAGTAGTTTCCTTTTAACTACTCAAATGTCAATAGAACGTAATTCAAAACAGCTAAAGAACGCTAATCCGCGAATTCGCTACAATCAACAACAGTAGTTTTCTAAACAACAACAAACTAAGCAACTACTACAAACTGAGATGTTTTGTTTCCTCCTTTTATAAGATTTTAAAATCACGCGCTAGAATTTTCCAGTACTTTCTCGAAATCAAAAAAGAGTATTTATTTATTTAATGCACGCGCTCTTGTATTTTCAATTTTCCGGCTTAGCTTTCTTTAATATTCGTCACGCGCTGCCTGCGCGAGAAATAAAACCATTTAATTTCTAATTGAACTAACATTAGCTTTTAAAATACAAAATTCGTAACACTGCCCCCTTCCCAAGGACTGCACGTCCCGGGCAGTACAATCCCTGGACAGGAAGCAAAACTTACAACTGTGGCATAAATGCATTAATAAGTATTACATTACAATAATAAAC